ACAGAAAAATATTAAGACTAATTTGCAAATTACCTTAACAAGTACAAAATAATAAAAACAAATCATTGCCGCAAGAGAAGCACTAACATGGTATTCATTTGTCATATAACATCTTTCTGGATTGGTTGAGAAGTTACTTAGCTAGTCAGTGAAATCCTGGCCTATGGGAAAAGGTTATTTATTTTTATGAGCTCCACTTTTCTCCCAACATTTTATTGGTAATTCTCATTTGTAACCAAATCAACTTGATTTTAAATTTAATAAAATCTAGAGCACCGGGACCATTACTGTCTTTCCACCAACAATTCAACACAGGTGAGGGTCTCTCCTCCACTATTTTAGACTCAGCCTCCCATGCACCAAGCAATACATCTTAAAGTTTCTAAGGCCACCATGTTTCTGTCATTTAAGGTCCATTCTGAGACATCTTAACAAGTGGCTATACTGAGACAGTACCTTGTATTCTTTCTCAACTACTTCTCTTTCTGTTTTCTACTTCTACTTCTATTTTTCCATTTCTTGAAATACTGCAATATGATATTGAATGTGATAAATGTTTTGCTTACATTATCTCTGAATCTTTGCAAAATCTTATAAAATTAATGGTATTACCTTTCCATTGTACAGTTAAAGGAATTAAAGCTTCTCCACAACTACAAAGGAGCCTCAGGTCCTTAATATAAACTCTGATCTATTTGATGACAAGCTCACTCTATAAACCACTAGTATGCTGTTTTCACTATCTCTATGGATTATTTTTGCTTGTACTAAAATACTGCCTAAAATACTGATCATTCTGTCATGTTTTAACCATCGTCAGTATTATTCTCTATCAATTTTCTATAACTCTCCCTCCAGCATGGTATCACTCTGCTTGGATCACTCATCTTACATCTTCACAAAGTATCCACTTAGACGGAATACTTTTTATTGTTTCTTTAATGACTTTAAGGTTCTATAAATAACAAACCGCACCCTTGTGTAATTGATATGTACTACTCTATAAACTCCTTCAAAGCCACTCACTCTGATACCTTGTATTACCCTTCCTATTTTTTTGGTCCAGCAAAGGCCAAATGTAGAGCATTCTGTCCATTTCAGTACACATTATGACTTAGTATCTGTTTGAATGATCAAAAGGTAAAGGAAAGTTTGTGGTCATATTCATACACTAAGTGTCTTCATTACATTGTTTAAAGTTTTCTGCAATGCTCAGCAAATGGAATAGTCCCCACACATCTGAAGCACACCTATATTCCCATGTGACTTCACTGCTTTTGGCCAAATAATCTATTCATCTTGTACTTTATCCTCAGTGTCTTCTACAGAAAGCATGATGAAATATAAAGAACAAATACGCTAGGATTTTGTATTCCAATATTTATATTCCACTTATCACACAGCATAATAGGTGTGACCTTGAAAACCTCTCTCCTTTGATGTCATTTTCCTCTTGTATAAAAAGAGGCAATAACAGGTATCTCAGAGTGTTGTCTGGAAGGTCAGATTAGATGTCTACATGAGAAGTTACAAAGTGGGGTTTGGCACATGCTAGACACGCATATTTACTTCTTGTCTTCCCTTTCTTTCTCTCACCTTCCAAGGTCTAAATACAAGTGTCTTATCCCCAGTTTCAAAGCTCTTCATCAGAGAATGCAGGACATTTTCCCAAACCTCCACAATTGCCATGCCATAATTCCACCATTCTTACTATTTAGAGCATACTTTTATAAGCCTTCTAATTCAAGGAATTCATTGATTTATCTGAGTTTATTCAACTAGCTTTTAATATGCTAGTTGAATACTAGAATTACTGTGTCTTTCTTTTATTTTTGTTTCCTTAGTGTCCAGCATTGTGCTCAGTAGATCACTAGCCACTCAGTATTACATGGTTATTGATTGACACACTAGCACCATGGGCCTCCACATCCTCCCTAATCATCTTTGAGGTCCCCACTTCCTCAGTTCGCCTTCATTATTAATAACTATAATATCTGGGGCGCCTGGGTGGAGCAGTCAGTTAAGCCTCCGACTATTGGTTTCAGCCCAGGTCGTGATCTCAGGGTCATCATCACGAAGTCTGCTTAAGACTTTCTCTCCCTCTCCCACTGGCAACCCCCCTGCCCCACATGCACGCTCTCCCTCTTTGTCTCTCTCTCTCTAAAATAAATAAACCTTTAAAAAATGATAATCATAATAACTATAACATCAGCAACTATAATAATTATAATAGTATCTAAATTGGTAGACTAATTTTCAGTTTGTAGGGCTACTTACTGGTACATTATTACGCTAAATCCTAACTGCAGTCTTTTGAGGTGCATATAATTAGCAAGCACAATATTTTATATCAGACTTTTTATTTAAGATTGTGGTTGTTATTGATTCTGCTTGTATTTTCTTTTTTTTAATTGTTAAAGACTTTGGCAAATCACTTAAGTTCTCTGAGTGGCAAGGTTCAGAAGTTATTAAGTAGGAAGCTAGTAATAAAATCTAGATCTTCTAAGTTTCAATTCAGTTCTCTTTCTGTTACATGTTGCACCTCTTGAATTCCCAACTTTCTAGGTCCAAATTAGAACACTTTTGGGTATCAATTTATATCTTCATTGTTAGAGAGCCTGGATCCCCTCAGAGGACAGACCTCTCAAGAATATCATAAAATCGGGCGCCTGGGTGGCTCAGTCGTTAAGCGTCTGCCTTCGGCTCAGGTCATGATCCCAGGGTCCTGGGATCGAGTCCCACATTGGGCTCCCTGCTCGGCAGGAAGCCTGCTTCTCCCTCTCCCACTCCCCCTGCTTGTGTTCCTGCTCTCGCTATTTCTCTGTCAAATAAATAAATAAAATCTTTAAAAAAAAAAAAAAAGAATATCATAAAATCTCCAACATGCACTTCATTGCAGTACGTATTTTAAGTATTTATTTTTAATTGATTCATAAAGCCATTGCTGAATTTCTTTACTAATGTATTAACTAATTCAACAAGGATTTTTTGTGATAATATTTCTTTATTTGCCATTTTATTCCTACTGTATCTCATTGCCCAGCATATTTTGATACTATATCCTGGATCATTTTATAGATTCTATTATTGATATCTCAGGAGATATTTACTGTTATTCTCAATCATTCATCTTCCCTGGGCCTTATTTGTTTGTTTGTTTATTTATTTTTAAAAATTATTTGAGAGAGAGAGAGGAGAGCACGCAAGCAGCAGGGGGAGAGGCAGAGGGAGAGGGAGAAGCAGACTCCTTACTGAGCTCAGAGCTCAACATGGGGGCTAGCTCCCAGGACACTGAGATCATGTCCTGAGGCAAAATCAAGAGTTGGATGCTTAACTGACTAAGCCACCCAGGTGCCCCTCCTAGACCCAATTTATTATGCAATCTTCATTTCTGAATTTTAGAAATAAATTTTTTAATTTATATTTTTAAAAATAATTTAAGTATCTGAAACAATCAAGACTTAAAATAACCAGAGGATCTACCTTGACCATATTAATTTTCAAAATGAGTTGAAGGGGCCTGGGTGGCTCAGTTGGTTAAGCATCCACCTCTTAATTTCGGCTCAGAACCCCTGTGTGGGCTCTTGCTTTGCGCTCAGCAGGGAGTCTGCTTGTCCCTCTGCCTCTCCCCCTGCTCCTGCTCTCTCTCTCTCTTTCCCTCTCTTAAATAAATTAAAATCTTTAAAATAAAATGAGTTGAGAGGGTGCCTGGGTGGCTCAGTCATTAAGCATCTGCCTTCGGCTCAGGTCATGATCCTGGAGTCCTGGGATCAAGCCTGCATTGGGATCCCTGCTTGGTGGGAAGCCTGCTTCTCCCTCTCCCACTCCCCCTGCTTGTGTTCCTGCTCTCGCTATCTCTCTCTCTGTCAAATAAATAAACAAAATCCTAAAAAAAAAAAAAAAAAGAAAAGAAAACGAGTTGAGTACATTAGTATAACACTATTCTAATGAGGAAACAGATTCAACACAATCAAGAGACTTCTTTAATTGATTTGATTGTGTTATTTTATAATCTGGTGTTTCTATTTTTAGCTAGAAGCTCTATAAACAAGCATTTATTTTACCTGGTAGGATGAAGGTCACATAACACAGAAAATGGAGGAGATGATAAAATATCTTCATTCTGCAGAAAGAAGCTGCTGGAAGATTTGGTAACAAAATCTAGAGAGTAGCACACTTTCCAAAAAGCCAGAAGACATTTACTATTTATAGTTTTCTAATGGAAGAAAAACTCTTTATCCGGAAATTGTTTTAATCTGGTGTACTTGTCTCTGCACCATTGACTAGGGCTGTGGGCAGAATTACCCAAACTGAAAATACTTGAAATTATTGATCTTTCGAGAGGAAACTTTATGTGGAAGATAGCTGCCCACATGACACCATTATATCGATGGTGATCAATTAAACATTGATGCAATGGGCATGCATGGAGTGGGTTTAAGAGAAATATTTACCATTTTAGATGTGAAACAATTGAAGATTACTCTGTCAGTTAAACTCCTGGTTACTTTTCAAAATATACTCTAGCCACGAATTTGGTATGCAAATTCATTAATATGTCCATATATCCCAAATTCTTACTTATATCCAGTAATCCCATTGATTTCCCCAAATTACTCATTTACCAAAGGACAGATGGTAAGTCTTACTTTTGTAGTTAATTTTTACCAAATTATTTTCAGATGCAACTTGAATATTTACGGAGCTCTGCTTTTTCCTAGAAAAGGCCAATTAGTCTCCATTTATTTTAATTTTTTTATCAGAATAATATAGGCACACAATAAATATTGAAAAAAGACCTTGTAATGAATAGAAATAATTTCCTCTTTCAATCTATGTTTAGGTCTTCTCTTTATTATTGCCTAAGAATTAGGATCTAGCTTAATATTTTGTCCTTGTGTGGCAACCACAAAATGTATCTTTTGGTTTCCACTAAGAAAAATGTGGATTCAGGCTGTTGCCAATGTACCATCTCCAGGCGGCCCCGGGAACCTGTTTTTACTGGGAGCAGCTATGAGCAAGCGGAACCAGGTTTCGTACGTGCCGCCAGCTGAATCGGCGTTCCTGGCTCGCTTCAAGGAACAGGTTGGCTACAGGGAAGGGCCTACGGTGGAAACCAAGAGAATCCAGCCTCAGCTCCCAGATGAAGATGGTGACCCCAGTAACAAAGAAGATGAACAGCCCCAAGTGGTGGTTTTAAAAAAGGGAGACCTGGGGCACCTGGGTGGCTCAGTCGTGCAGCGTCTGCCTTCGGCTCAGGTCATGATCCCAAAGTCCTGGGATCAAGCCCCACATCGGGCTCCCTGCTCCGCGGGAAGCCTGCTTCTTCCTCTCCCACTCCCCCTGCTGGTGTTCCCTCTCTCACTATATCTCTCTCTCTGTCAAATAAATAAATAAAATCTTAAAAAAAAAAAAAAAGGGAGACCTGTCAGTTGAAGAAGTCATGAAAATTAAAGCAGAAATAAAGGCTGCCAAAGCAGATGAAGAACCGGCTACACTTGATGGAAGAATCATGTATGGAAAACCAGTCAAATGTTCCTTGAATGAAAAATATTCAGGTTTAACAGCAAGCTTAAGAAAGAGGAAGGCAAATGAAGATGAAATAAATAAGCAGGACTCAGTTAAAAAGAACTCACAAAAGCCAATCAAAAACAGTTGCCGCCTTTCTTTTGACAATGAAGATGAAACTGAGTAAGTGTAAATATTTTGGACTTAGGGCGCCTGGGTGGCTCAGTCGGTTAAGCGACTGCCTTCGGCTCAGGTCATGATCCTGGAGTCCCTGGATCGAGTCCCGCATCGGGCTCCCTGCTCCAGTCTGCTTCTCCCTCTGACCCTCCTCCCTCTCATGCTCTCTGTCTCTCATTCTGTCTCAAATAAATAAATAAAATCTTTAAAAAAAATATTTTGGACTTAGTCGTCCTTAAGAATATATGGGGTGTTTTTTAAAGTGACACTTTTTTTTTCTATTTAAAGATAATACAAGTTCATTATAAAAGATTCAGAAAAAATTTAGTATGATAAAAATTTTGTCTATCAATACCCTTTTGACATGAGGCTAACTCTGAAGATATTAATTACCATTAACATTTTGGAACTCCCACGTGTGGGATATGTATTTTTTAAACAAAATTGAGATTATATTGCATATGTTTTCTGTCCTGCTTTTCACATGACATTATATTCTGAGCATTTTTCCAGATCAGTAAAATTTAAAAAATTAACATAATTGCTACAGAGGATTTTGTCATTAAACAGATTGCCTATCGCATCTTCTTCATTAGCAGAAGCCCACTTTGGAGGAAGATGATAATGTGCCTATTTAAGAATACTTCCCCAGCTCCTGCTAAAGGTGGCCATATAACAGCTCTGGCAATTTTAGAGATAAAAGTGGATCTTGTACAAGTGAGCTTCTAATAGAAGGGATCTTGATAGAAGAGAGGATCTAATGTATAACATGGAGACTGTAGTTAATAACTCTATAAAAAAGAGAGATAAGTAGAAATCTGCTTAATAAAGCTACCAGGTGTTTGATACAAGAAAGCAGATCTGGGGCGCCTGGGTGGCTCAGTTGGTTAAGCGACTGCCTTCGGCTCAGGTCATGATCCTGGAGTCCCTGGATCGAGTCCCGCATCGGGCTCCCTGCTCGGCAGGGAGTCTGCTTCTCCCTCTGACCCTCCCCTCTCTCATGTGCTCTCTCTCTCTCATATTCTCTCTCAAATAAATAAATAAAATCTTTAAAAAAAAAAAAAAAGAAAGAAAGCAGATCTGGCAAGCAAGAACCTTTGTCCTTCTCGCTACATCCTGCTACATCCAAGAGCACATACATGAAACCTAGGAGTATCGGAGCCATTTTTTGGCCTAAGGAAGGCGGATCCTTTCTCTGGGTGGTACCGTAGAAAGACTCAAGGCACTTGGATCCTGATAGCACGCCTCGAGGAGCTGCCGCACCAGCCACGGACTGCCAACCTCTGGATTTCTTGTTACATGAGAAGAATAAACCAAAAGTTGTTGGTCAGTAGTCCACTTGCTGACACCTGAGAATTCAATGTCTCCTGCCCTCCTTTTTCCTTAAGAGGCCCCCTTTAGTGTTGTGCTCTAGAATTTGTCAACCTTAAAAATAAAAGTCAATTATTTGAAAAAAAAAAAAAAAGAAAGAAAGAAAAATGTGGCTTCAGATCACTTACACTCCTGTGCTGTTCTGCTCCTCAAATATTAGAAAGTTATATTAATTTTCAAAAATTCTGTAGGCTATCTTTAAACATTTAAATACCTCATTTTTTTCCCCACCAACATTAGTCACAACATTAAACTTTCTCTATTTAAAATGAAGACATTAGTCCCCTTGCCATTCCCTCCAACATTCCTCCCCATTTTGTACATCTCATTCACTTGTTGTCATACATTTCCTTTTATCTTGTGTAGGATAATATTTGCATTCAGAATTGAGATGTTGAAGCTTTATATTGAAATCCTCTAATACAATAAAGTATGAACTCTATTGCCTTTTTAATGTGTCTGATGTGCTAACCAAAAACAAATATTAGTTTCAAAGTCAAGTGAATTATTACTATTATTTTACTATTATTATTATTATTTTATTTTCTCTCTTCTTTCTTAGTTTTTTTTTCTCAAATGTTTTCAAGTCTTTTGGTTTTAGTTGTTTCATTTTTGGTTATGATGTTTTTGAAAAATATTTTTTCCTGTAATTATCTTCTGGATGTGGATGAAAAATATAAATAATGGTCATTCCTGATCCTTAAGTTTACCCTAGTACCATAGGCTATACCTGTCCCTGCTTCATTCTAAGAGTTTCTGAACCTGTTCAACAACATTGAATCTACTGTGATTTGGATCTCACGTCTCCTCTCTCTCTCTCTTTTTTTTTCCCTCCATCCAGAAGTGTTCTCAAAAAAGAGAGGAAATACAAGAATTTCAATGCTGGAAAACATTTTTATTCTGCCCTCATACCTGATTGTTTGGATGTAAAATCTAGGCTCAAAATCATTTGTGAAGTCATTACTCTACTAATTTCTACCATTCAGTTTTCTTGATGAGAATTCCAATGCTAGGCTAGGTCCTTTTAAATGGTTTGATTTTTCCTCTCTCTAGACACTTATAGGACACTCTCTTCATAATTTGTAGCTAAATCTCATGATTCACACATTTCCTGGTGTAAACTTTTTTTTTATGAGTTCTGTCTGGCACAGGTGAGCTTCTATCTTCAAATCTGGGAAGATGTTGTGTTCTCTTCTCTTTTTCTATTTCTTTCTCTGATAAAGTCTTTTCCTCATTATGTGTATATTTATCTTCCCTCTTTGGGGGATTTCTTTTAGTCAGATGTTGAAATTTTCTTCTTTCTTCTTTTTTTATTTTTATAAAAAAATCTTATTTTTATACCTACTTATTTTATGATTTAAATATCTTTCACTTTTTCTTTTTTTTTCTTTTTTTATTTATTTGACAGAGATAGAGAGAGACAGAGAGAGAGGGAACACAAGCAGGGGGGGTGGGAGAGGGAGAAGCAAGCTTCCTGCTGAACAAGGAGCCCAATGTGGGACTCCATCCCAGGATCCTGGGAACATGACCCAAGCCAAAGGCAGACACTTAATGACTGAGCCACCCAGGTGCCCCTCACTTTTCAGTTTTTCTAATTTTTTTAAGCAAACATATTTAGGATGTAAGCGCCCTTATCTGTTCTCTGATTATTCTTTTGCCATGAAGCAGTGTTTTTGTTTTGTAGATGTAAGATCTTCTTGAATCCCTCTGCAAATATATTTGAGAGTTTTGTTCATATTAAACTCTGTTTTCCTTGAACTGTTTTCTCAGGATCTAGTGTTCTGTTTGGTGGTGTTATCTTACTTATTCATGCCTTTGCTTTTACATATTGTTGTAAAAGCACTGGTTCTAAGATGAAGAATTAAATACCTCAGGGGGATTTCCTTGTCTTTACCCCAAAGCCTCTGCTTCGGGGAATTCTGATAGTAAGGTCTGTGGATGTAGGTTGAATGGGCTTCTTTAAACTTATCATAAAAGCCATCTATGAAAAATCCACAGCAAATATCATTCTCAATGGAGAAATACTGAGAGCTTTTCCCCTCAGGTCAAGAACATGGCAGGGATGTCCACTATCACCACTTCTATTCAACATAGTACTAGAAGTCCTGGCCTCAGTAATCAGACAACAAAAAGAAATAAAAGGCATCCAAATTGGCAAAGAAGAAGTCAAACTCTCACTCTTTGCAGATGATATGATATTTTATGTGGAAAACCCAAAAGACTCCACCCCAAAACTGCTAGAACTCATACAGGAATTCAGTAAAGTGGCAGGATATAAAATCAATGCACAGAAATCAGTGGCATTCCTATACACCAACAACAAGACAGAAGAAAGAGAAATTAAGGAGTTGATCCCATTTACAATTGCACCCAAAACCATAAGATACCTAGGAATAAATCTAACCAAAGAGGCAAAGCATCTGGGCTCAGAAAACTATAAAATGCTCATGAAAGAAATTGAGGAAGACACAAGGAAATGGAAGAACATTCCATGCTCATAGATTGGAAGACCAAATATTGTGAAGATGTCAATGCTACCTAGAGCAATCTACAAATTTAATGCAATCCCCATCAAAATACCATCCACTTTTTTCAAAGAAATGGAACAAATAATCCTAAAATTTGTATGGAACCAGAAAAGACCCCGAATAGCCAGAGGAATGTTGAAAAGAAAAGCAAAGCTTGTGGCATCACAATTCCGGACTTCAAGCTCCATTACAAAGCTTTCATCATCAAGACAGTATGGTACTGGCACAAAAACAGACACATAGATCACTGGAACAGAATAGAGAGCCCAGAAATGGATTCTCAACTCTATGGTCAACTCATCTTCAACAAAGCAGGAAAGAATGTCCAATGGAAAAAAGACAGTCTCTTCAACAAATGGTGTTGGGAAAATTGGACAGCCACATGTAGAAGAATGAAACTGGACTATTTTCTTACACAAAGATAAACAGAAATGGATGAAAGACCTCAATGAGAGACAAGAATGCATCAAAATCCTAGAGGGGAACACAGGCAGCAACCTCTTCGACCTCAGCCACAGTAACTTCTTCCTAACAACATTACCAAAGGCAAGGGAAGCAAGGGCAAAAATGAACTATTGGGACTTCATCAAGATAAGAAACTTTTGCACAGCAAAGGAAACAGTCAACAAAACCAAGAGACAACCAACAAATGGGAGAAGATATTTGCAAATGACATATCAGATAAAAGGCTAGTATCCAAAATCTATAAAGAACTTATCAAATTCAACACCCAAAGAACAAATAATCCAATCAAGAAATGGGCAGAAGACATGAACAGACATTTTTCCAAAGAAGACATCCAAATGGCCAACAGACACATGAAAAAGTGCTCAATATTTCTCGGCATCAGGGAAATCCAAATCAAAACCTCAATGAGATACCACCTCACACCAGTCAGAATGGCTAAAATTAACAAGTCAGGAAATGATAGATTTTGGCGAGGATGCAGAGAAAGGGGATCCCTCTTACACTGTTGGTGGGAATGCAAGCTGGTGCAGCCACCCTGAAAAAAACTATGGAGGTTCCTCAAAAAGTTGAAAATAGAGCTACCCTATGACCCAGCAATTGCACTACTGGGTATTTACCCCAAAGATACAAATGTAGTGATCCGAAGGGACACATGCACCCCAATCTTTATAGCTGCAGTGTCCACAATAGCTAAACTATGGAAAGAGCCTAGATATCCATCAACAGATAAATGGCTGAAGAAGATGTGTATGTATATTTACAATGGTCAACCCTCAAAATTGAAATCTTGCCA